GAGAGCCTGAGCAAGCCAGCTGCTGGAGGGATGTGCATTCGGGCCCCTTTCAGGCTGCTCCGGGCCGGATCAGATTCTCTGATCTGAATCGGCTTCCTGCAGTTCTGCCCCATTATATCCTATGGGCCATTGAAGTCAATGGTGAAAACATAGGGTATGTTCTGGGGGCTGGAGGAGAGGGGGTTTGAGGGAGAGGCTCCAATATCGCAGGGCAGCTGTTGGAGCCTCTCCCCAAGATACCTGCCATGTTTCAGGAACATTGAACCAGGGGGTCCAATTCTATGGGCCCCCAAACAGGTTGCCCCGATCCCCTCCATTGTTTTCTATGGTGGGAAAAAGTTACTTACACACTTATTTTCAGCTATGCAGTGAAGATCCTTATGCTTTGAGGCAACTGCTGCTAAAGCAACTTTTTACAGAATCTGCACAGTCAATAAGATCTTCAACAGCTCGTCAGAAACCGTGCTGGGCAAAAGCCCCATCTGGCCCTGCTCACTTTCTTAAAATACTTGTATGGCACCTTTTAAAAGTGTTGGTGGGACACCCTACTGTGGAGGAAGATAATTGAAAGGCCAAAAATTTAAGAAGTTGGAAGATACTGTAAGCAATTACTATACCACATCGTTATTATTTAAGAATTACACACTCCTTGCCCTTATAACGGGAGGGATTTGGGGTCCTAAAAAGTATTGTATTCCCCTCCTACAGGCCACTGCTTTTTAAATGTATCACATGATAATCGGTAGCCATGTGTTGGAGAAAGCACCCAGGAAACTGGTTTGGCAGTTATGATAGGCCAGGAGACTGAACAACCCGCCAAACCTTTATCCGCCCCGCCTCTTCCCCGACCATGTTTCATGCGTATTTAACCGCCAACTACAAAGCCCGCCTCTTTCCGGACCTAAGTCGATCGACACTAGCTCAACTCTTTCACAGAACGAACACGAGAGGCGGGTCTTGGTGGGATGCCGGCGACCCGCCCCTCCACCGAACTTTCGAATTCTGTTGGCTAGCGTTAGAGTCCGTAGACCAATGGTGGTGGACGAGCACGGATAAGCCCGACCCAGTACATCCTTTCGGTCGGCTCTCCGCCTTTGAACTGGAAGGGAGTGCCCGTGTTTTACCTAGCCATTGGCTACAGCGGCCGTCACTCTCCTGACGCCTTAGCCCGACTTGGTGATTGGTCCCGCCCAGGCGCGAAATGTAACGCGGGAAAGTCTAGGATTCGGTGGAGTCGAGGCGGCTGCCGCTAACCACCTTTGGAAAGAGGCCGCGGCTGTTAGCCGACTGGGAGCCGGAGCGCGGCTGCCTGCCGGCCTGCGTCCCCATAAGAGCTCTTTGCAGCTCCCCTGTAATGCAAGCCTGAGGCGTTCCTGCCGGACCATAGGAAGAGTCGGGAGCGGCAGCGCCGGATCGGCTTGGGAAGGGGGCGAGTTTTGGCGCAGGATGTCTGAGAGGCCGGGCCCTGCGCCTGTGATCTTGTTTTCGGGGGATTCACCGAAGCGCGTCTTGGTCTCTGTCATCAAAACCACCCCGATCAAGCCGCCGCGCAGAGGCAGCGAGGAGCTCGCCCGGGCTCCTCCGCCGCCGCCCATCCCCACCAGTCCGGGCTTCAGCGACTTCATGGTGTACCCCTGGCGCTGGGGAGAGAACGCGCACAACGTCACTCTCAGCCCTCCGCCGGCTACGACTCAGCCTCTCTGCGATGGAGGTGGAGGGAACAGCCACGGGGCCAGAGACGCAGGCGGCCGTTCGGGCGCGGACGACGAAGAAGCGGGCAGCCCGGACAGCGGCATTGGGAGCAGCGGACACTTGAGGGTGAGTGGACTCGGGAGCGCCGTTTGACAGAGGCTGGCTGGGTTGCCAGCAGTGGAGACGAAGGACGAAGGGGCTTCCGAACGCGCGCGCGCAGCCGGCGACCGTTGGGGGAAAGGCTGCTTTTAAAGGGTCCCTGTGAACGTTGGAACACGGCCACACACACACACACCCCATTCCCTCCTTTCTCGAATCGCCCGAGGCTTAAAGTTAAGTCATTTCCGCGAGTGATTCACACTCTTAATGACGACACCTCCGCGCGCCAAAACCCGATTTTTCCCCCCCATGTCGGCGGCAAGCCAGTGCTTGGTTGCGCGCGCGCTATTGTACTAATAAGCCACAGAATGTGCGCGCGACTAAACAGGTAGTGCCCGCGCACGCGCTGTTATTTTTTCTAACCCCCCCCCCTTCAGTTAGTGACCCGTGCGCTCGTCGTTGTAAACAGAGTGAGAGCTGTATCGCGGGGATTCCCATGGCGTTAGGGGATATCTGTGAGGGACTCCTTTATACATCATTATTTAGCTTCTACATTGGCAGCTTCCTTGGCTTTCTGACAACGCGAAGGCAGGAATTCCGAAAGTTGTCAAAATGGGTAAAATGGGAAGTTTCCCTTTTTGGAGGTATGTTGACAGGCAAGAGCTGAGCCAGCAGAACAGCCTGTAAGGGTGTCATTGCAAGCGTCTTGTGCAAAGTATTTAATACAATGACGAGCATGGTAGATCTCTGCATGTGTCACAAATAGGCTTCAAAGCTTATGCATCATTATAGATTGTAGAAATGAGGAGTCATGCTTAGCAGTTATTGTTACGTGCCACCAGGGGTCTTGTTGTAGAAAAAGAGCTGCCGGAGCTCATTAGCATAACTCATTAGCATAACTTATTTGCATATGCCACGCCCCCTGACATCTCCGGAAGTGACAGAAGGCCACACCCCCTGACATCACCGGAAGTGTGTCAGAAGGCCCGGCTACTTACCCTCCTGCTTCATCCTCATTCCCAAACGGAATGAGGATCGAAGCAGAGGGCGGGGTAAAGAAGGGGGCGGGGCTTCACCACGTGACCGCCCCGCCCCCTAGAGGATCTCTTCCGGAGCTCCGTACCTGAGAGCTCCCCCCCGACTAGAGCCCTGCGTGCCACAAAATGTACCCATTGCACCCACCAGCCTCAAAGCAGTATTTTTTCTCCATCTGTGAAGTCCCCCAAATTCAGCCTTGTTGTTTTACCTGGTTGTTGCTGCTCTTTTTCACTGCTGCACATCCAGCAGTGATGAGGGATGGAGTCTGGTCAGTAGTGGGTCCTTTATCAGTGTGCAGGCCCCAACTGATAAGTGACTGTGCTAGCTATTGTCTGACTGCCCTTCGCCCCAGTTCCTGTTTTGTTCCATTAGATTAATGTTTGTAATGTCCATCTTAAACTCACCCTGGCAGTTATTTGATAAACATCTGTTCTTGGTTGTGTATGTTTACTTACTAGGATGGGATTAGAAGAGGCCGACCAAGAGCAGACACCGTCCGAGATCTAATAAGCGAGGGAGAGAATTCATCTAGCAGAATTCGTTGTAATGTTTGCAACAGAGTCTTCCCACGAGAGAAATCCTTACAGGCACACAAAAGAACTCATACTGGTAAGTGGAGTGTTGAGGAATAAAACTGATCACCCATGTTCTTTCAAACCCCAGGAAATAATAGAAAACCACTTGTTCAGTTCCTTTGGTGAGAGCCAGTTTGGTGTAGTGGTTAAGTGTGCGGACTCTAATCTGGGAGAGCCGGGTTTGATTCCCCACTCCTCCACTTGCACCTGCTGATGTGACCTTGGGTCAGTCACAAGCTCTGGCTCAGCTGTCCTTGAAAAAGAGCAGTTTGTCTCAGAGTTCTCTCAGCCCCACCCACCTCACAGGGTGTCTGTTGTGGGGAGGGGAAGGGAAAGGAAAGGAGTTTGTAAGCCGCTCTGAGACTCCAAGTGAAGGGCGGGGGATAAATCCAATCTCCTCCTCTTCCTCTAATTGTTGCCCTTTGTGGTTTCTGCATTGCACTGCTGAGATTTTACGCTGGCACAGAGTCACCAAAAAGCCTTCTGAGAGTAATGAAGCATTCCCTAACTTCAGGGGGTTAAAGTTTGTGTCCTCCTTGTACTTTACGCAAATGAAGGTTTTCGTAGGGCTAAGATTCTGCGTTTTCATGGATACTTTGGCGGAGGACACCAATGAGTTATTTTGAAGTTCTCTTTTGTTGCCCATGTTCTAGAGTTAAATGCTTCTAAAAGCCATTGTTTTTATTATGAGAAACATATGCTTAACCAGTAGGGGGAGCAAGAGTGCAGAAAATAGCTGAGCAAAGACACTATTTTTGTTCATTGTAATGATGATTGACTTTAAACACATTCTTATTTTAATGGATAAATAAGTGCTTAACCAGATTCTTTCCATGGAATCAGGATTCCTAATTTTGCTTGCACTGTATTCAGTTGCATTGAACTGCTCTAAATCTTAAATGTTGGCTTGTCCAGTGATCTTTGACTGCCTTATTTGCAAAATGTGACTTTCCAGCAGCACCTAGCTCCCCTCTCTCCTGAAAATGCTATTCCTAAGGGTCAGGAGACCAACAGGAATAACTTGGGATAGAGAGCTAGCATGGTGTAGGGGTTAAGAGCAGCAGACTCTAATCTGGAGAACCGGATTTGATTCCCCATTCTTCCACATGAAGCTTGCAGGGTGATCTTGGACCAGTCACAGTTCTCAGAACTCTCTCAGCCTCACTTACCTCACAAGGTGTCTGTTGTGGGGAGAGGAAGGGAAGGCGGTTGTAAGCTGCTTTGAGGCTCTTAAAATAGAGAAAAGTGGGGTATTAAAACCTACTCTTCTTTTACTTCATATAGGGGTACAGCAGGGAAGGTGAATCAAGAAAAATGGCACACCTTGCTTTTTGTTTCACATAGATCTAGTTTCAAGCCATACTTATTACTTGCTTCTAATCTGATTTATTTATTTAGCATCTTTTTCATAGTAACTAAATGTAAGGTTGGATCCAGCCAACTTTGTCACTCAGTCCCTGCTCCATACTACAGTCCCATTCCATATGGCTTTTGTACACAAAGGTCCCATGATCCCCAGCATATCGTACTGGTCAAAAGAGACCCATCCTGCCCTTTCCAGCAGCAGAATGAGAATAAAATTTGAGTATAACGTAACAAAACTGGTAACGATGGCACAGTTCCAGAACAAGCTTTAGATGGCTTAATTTCTGCACAGAGACTCCTTGTATAACTTCAAAGGGAAAGTAACTATTTACTTTCTTTCTCCAGGTGAAAGGCCTTATTTGTGTGACTACCCTGAGTGTGGGAAAGCTTTTGTTCAGAGTGGGCAACTTAAAACGCATCAACGTCTCCATACAGGAGAAAAACCTTTTGTTTGTTCAGAAAATGGTGAGCATTTTTTTCTCATAGAAAATGCTGTGAATACAGTCTGAGGTATATCATTTTTTTTGGAGAAGGTGATAGCCTGAAAGAGAAGAAAGGAGGCATATACGACTGGTCTAACAACAAAGCCAAAGAAAAGCTGAATTCTTATTGTTTTCACTGCTCAGTTTATGTGGTTAATTCTTCTACTGAAATGAGTGGATCAGAGCCTGACCAAATTTTCAAAAGCAGGGTATGTTTTGAAAAATGTTTATTTGACATCTTCTAACACACTCAGCAGTGAAACCTCACCAGAATCGATTGTTAATGGGCAATTGAGAAGAGAAGATGCTTGGGGGGAATGTTCTAGAATGGATTTTATAAAATAGTGGAGATCCTTTGTGGATTCCTGGGACAAAGCAGTTCTGAGTGGGGACAAAGAATGGATAATTTGCTGGGGAAGGCAGGTAATTGGGTGGGATGGAACATTTTTGTAAGGAACAAGTAGAAGTTGGGGACCAGAAGAAGTTTTGTAGAGAACAATAGTGTATGGATCACCCATTATTTTTGGCAAAGGAGATGGGAACCAGCATTAATTTAGGAGAGAACACAGGCTAGAAGCCTTATAAGTCCGAATCTTTGTTTAATCCTCAGTAAGGAAAATGCTTTCTCTGCACATTCAAAGGTACTGTTTCTTACACTCCAGGACTTGGTCTTAGTACTGAAAAGAGATTCTGGAGTTTATCCCGAGTGAACCCTGCTACAAATGAAGCACAGGAAAGGGAACCATCTTCTCTGTGGTTTGGGTTGTTTCTGCAAAGGCATGCCTGCCTCGTTTTCTGAGGAATAGGCACAGGGGTTGGGGTTAAATATGTGGCTTGCAAAAATGGCAGGGGGAGAACATAAGCAATAAGCTGATGTCCAGTGAGAGTGTGACTATAGGAAACTATCCTATGCAGCCTAGGTAAATGGGGGACTTCAAGGTGGTGGGTTGGCTTGAATATACAAGGGAAATTTTAAGGTGCTATGGATTATGGAATCCTAAATCCGTGGCTAAATTGTGTGAATTTGTTGTAACTTTGGTTGTTGGGCCCACTAATCTTTTCTTTATGAGGTTAAATACAAAAATGTTAAATTTTATAGTGCATGTATAAAACCTTCATCTTGGTGCTAAGTGATTCTTTTTCTTCTAATAAGGATGTGTAAGCAGATTCACACATGCAAACCGTCACTGTCCCAAGCATCCCTATGCAAGGCTGAGGAGAGAGGAACCTACAGACAGGTTGAATAAAAAACAAACAGCAGATAATAAAGCTGTTGCTGAATGGCTGGCAAAGTAAGTGGATGAATGGATTGGCTTTATACTTGTTGTCCCTTCTGAGTGGTCTTTCCTTAGCTTAACTAAATGGAAAATCTTCATAAGAAGCTAACTGAAGACAATTCTGCCACGACAATGTCTAATGTTAAGTTTCATCCTTATAGATACTGGGAGATGAGAGATCAACGTACTCCTACATTAAGAAGCAAAGCTACTCATAAGCCTGATCAGGAGCAGCAAGATCCCATGGAGTATCTCCAGTCTGATGAAGATGAGGATGAGGAAAAGAGTACTACCCATTCAGCTGCCTGTAGTCGCCTTCAGGAACAACGTGAACGCTTACATGGGGCACTAGCACTCATTGAGCTTGCAAACCTGGATGGAGCTCCACTGCGACAGTAGTAGAAAAACTGAACCTGCTGATAAATGTACTGCATTTTGGTACTTAAAAAGTTAGCTCCTCAGCATAAGCTAAGCACCTTATTTGCTTTCATAGGCTGCTATTCTGTAGAATTTATGAAGAATGTTGTTGCCCCGAGAAGATGGGGTAAGAGAATTGCACTTTTTTGTAAGGTAAAGTCAGATATAAAGCTTTTTAAAGTATTTTGTAAATAGGCTGCGTAATGCAGGGTGAAAAATTCATTATATTGAATGCTAGATTTGCAAGGTTAGGGCTGTGCTGCTATTCACAGTTACATGGAAGTAAGCCACTGTGCTATCAGGGGAACTTTCCTCCATGTAAAAATGTTTAAATCAGGATGCCAGTCTTTCTTTGATGCAGTCCTCACAGGAAGCACTTTCTGAACTCATCACTTTAGAATAATGGTACACGTATTGAAAGAAAATAGTTGAAAGACTATTTTAAAGTTGGATGTAAGTAGGAACCGTGGTTTTCAAATGTCAATATTTTACCTAGCATTACTGACAAGGCTTCTAGAACAGCAGTCCTAACCTTGTAGTAGCATTGAAGAACCAGGTGATGCGTTGTTCAGGATCTTTACTGTGACTGCTGACATTAAGGCTGACTTTACTGATGTGGACTGAGATCTTGGCAGTCTCTTGGTTGAGTAGCACTTCGTATTCCTTACGGAATGTTGGGAACATTTGCACATTGTTGGACTTGCCTATAACTTCGTGATGTAGTCTTGCAAATTCTAGGCATCATGGTAACATCACACAGGATGTGGATTTTTTTCAGACTTCGTAGACCCTGTAACAATGGCATGTGTATTTTGTTAATAGGGATATTTGCAGGATAGTACTGATTTATAGTAAAATATTTTATAAGACTCATTAGCAAACACTAAAAGTACTGCTTCAAAACTTTCTTGCAGCTCTTTTCTTGCATAACGCCACCTTATTGCTTTATTTCAAAATTACATGCTACGTTTGTGTTCACTAACTGTAGTACAGTTACTGTATTGGCTGTATAGCTAGGAATATAGGCTTCCAGCAGTAGTTGAAGTGTGAAATGTGTGGCATAGTATTTTTTTTCCTCCAAATAAAAATGTGGTTTTTGATTAGTGCTTTTGAGCACTGAAAGGAAAATAATGTTTTAGCAGAACACATTATTATTATTAGTGATTTTAAGTAAATTATTATATGCCGGGCTTGTGTCTTGATAGATTGTTCTTGTGTGAACAAAATGAGTAGAGGTGCATAGCAGACAGAAAATTCTAATACTTGCTGGTTTTAGGAGGTGGGAAAGGGGAGCTATTAGCATAAACATATGAAGCGTCAGATTCATGACCAACTAACCTTCCACTTCTGTGATTCAAACTGGTACTGGGCTTAGCATGCCCTTTAATAAAAATAATTACAAATGGCAAATTTGCAAGATGAAGATACAGATAGCTTTTTTTAGCTGTTGACATATCATTAGAATTGTGTTAATGTAAACAAATGGCCAGACAGGGAATGCAGTGAACTTCATTGGAATTGAATCTTAGCATTGTCACTTCTTGGCTTGTTCACTTCTAAATCTATCTGGCACCTCTACATCATTAAAGCAAAGCACTTCAATTTGGGCTTCTGGTTGCATAAAAAGTACAAGTATCCTTAGAAAATAGGCTAAGAGCCTTCCAGCATCAACTTTGATGCTCTTCCTGGAGCTGACTTAGCAGGGAAAGACATTTGCACTTCACATAAAACTTATGCATATATCACTAGTTATGCAAACTGGCCCCAGTTCTTTATCAGAATGCACAAACTTCTCTGTGTCAATATCAGTTACACTGAGTGCATATTGAAAACAGGTAGTTGATCAAAACTTGTTAAATTCTGCCTATTTGTTGGCAAGGTCAAGCTGCTTAACCAATTGTGTATAAAATACATCTTTGGGAAACCTACAAGCAAAAAAGTTACATGTGTGGCTTTAAAAATGTTGGCTTTAAAAAATGGTGGTTCAAGAATTGTATGCTTCCTATGATTAAGCTGTAGTTTTAAGCATGATTTGAAATGCTGTAATTCTAATAAGCTTTGAATAAAAAGTTGTCTGAATCTTTTGTCTTTGTTTTGCTTACATTCATAACCTAGAGATAATCAGAAGTTTACAGGAGTGCTAATGTATGCCTAGTGGTGTTGTGTCTGAGTGTGTGCACTGAGAATGTCAAGGTGGTGCTCCTTTCAATGTGGAGGATAATGGTAAGCAGTTTACGTATATCAAAGCTCTTGTCTATTCAGTGTTTTTTAAAAATAAAAGCACTACTAACTTGGTTCTGATACAGTGCTAAATCATGGTCTTCAGTTACAGGGCTTACGGTGAATTCCTTGGGCTTATAGTGAACTCCTTCAGACAGGTGTGTCAAACATAAGATTTGCAGGGCTCCTATCCAGGCCATGAGCATCTGTTCTCTCATGCTTCCTTCCCTGGGGCTGCAATCACATGGGGAGAGTTACAAAGCCAAGCCTCCCTTCGCTCCATTGGCTGAAGTCTCTTCTCCCCTTGTCCTCCTTTGGGGAGGAAGGGAGGGAAAGCAAGCAAGAGTGCCCTTTTGAGAGAGAGAGCAAAGTCGGGGTTCTACTGTGTCATCTTTAAGACCAACAAAGTTTTATTCCAGGTATAAGCTTTCATGTGCATACACACTGCTTGGGAGGGGGGATTCGTCTGAGAAGCATAATTTACATTGAGATTGCCCTGCTCTGCTATTTATTTTGAGACCTGATCACGTTCACACAGGTTGAAAAAGGAGGGGGGGCAGGAAAGAGATGTATCTGGGATAGGGGGAATTAAAAGGAAATTATTTCGGCTTATCCAGAAAGTGTTTTTTAAAGATTAGATTTCTATCCAGAGTCTTATTTTCTTTCAAAAAGACCCTGATTAGGAATTACAACATTTAGATTGGATTCCATTGTTTAATGGCTAAGTATTTAAAAATATGTTATGGTTCCAAAACATCTCCCTCCCTCTTCCTCACTGGCTGCCTTTTTTTGGGCCCCCCAAAGGGGATTTTTTTTTAATTGCATTTCTATAAACCAAAAAGATAATTGGGATAGGGAATCTAATATCTACAGGAGAAAGGAAAGTTAACTACTAAAAACCCAAGTAGTGAAGATCATTACATAAGCTTATACAATATTAATCTATTCTATTAATATTACAATGAGCTTGAACGTTTAAATCTAGCCACTATTCCCCAAAACCCGATATTAATTACTGATTAAGACAATCACAAAAGCATCAAATAAAAAAAAAAGATACAGCTTCTTGAAAGTGGAATTCAGAGTTCCTCAGCATCTCATTACTTGGCTTTTCTTTTCCTCAAATCATAGTCTCTTTTGGGGGCCACAGCACCCAAGTCTGACTCAGAGTCCTCAATAGTTGAGGAAGTGTCTTCACCGCTTTCTTTATCTTGATTGTCTTCTTTGTCGTCTTCTCTGGACCTTCCCAGTTGCTGCTTCAAAAACTCATTTGCTTTCTTAACAAGTCAATTCTTTCTTTTTTATCATTTATTCTGAAGAGTAGGCCTTCGGGGATCAACCATTTGTACCATGTTGTTTGTTTGTTTGTAAAAACAAAGCCAAGTCTTTGAATTTCTTCCTCTTCTTTCTGATTTCAAATGGAATGTCTTTTAAAATCTGAATGGTATTTCCATTGACTTTCAGGGCTGTTCCTGTTGTTGCTTTCAAGATTTGATCCCTCACATGTCTTTTTGAGAATCTAACCACTATTTCTCCAGGCAGATTATTTTTCTTAATATATTCTGAATATGATCTGTAGATCACATCCATTTTGCTTTGAAGATATTCCGTTTTCAAATCTGCAACTGGTGAGATTAGATCAGCCAGCATTTGTTTTAGATTCTCTCCTTTTGTCTCAGGAACCCCCTGGAATCTCAGGATAAAACTTGCTTTTTCCATTTGTAATTGCAACAGCTGAGATTCATCAGAAATTCTTTTCTTTTCCAACTCCTGTACACACTTCTTCACCTTTTTTAGATTTGGCATTAACTTCCTTCAGTGTTTCTGCTGTTTGCTCTGATAGTTTTTTAGTTTCGTTTAGTTCCAGTTGTTGTGCAGCGAAGTTCTGGTTCAAAGCAGTCAGTTGCTGATTGATGTTAGTCATCTGGTCCAGCAGAGGCCGCAAAGAGTCAGCTAATAGCTGTGAAAGTTCGCTGGTAACTTCCGATCATGGGCTTCTACTTCCAGGAGGAGGCTTTAACTGCGATGGTTTCTCTTTATCGCCTCTCCGCCCAGCCATTTTTGAGGATTATTTACTTTTAAGAAAGTTTGCCAAAGTCTCTGCTTTCCACTAAAATGTTTTACTGCGCTTTTGTGTATTAAATCAGTTCTATGGCTTTTACATCCAGCGCCCTCTTTTTAAAATGCTCCGTTTGGATTTCGCGTCTGGGAGTTCCCCCCCCTCCCCACGCTCGCTTATAACAGAGGGGCTTTCTTGCCAAAGTTCAGTGTTCTGCTTTCAACTCAACTCACAGTTCATCGTTGGTCTTAAGGTATGTGTAAATCGCCAGATCTTCATGCGCTTGTCCCGGTCAGCGACTCTTTTGCCATGCTGCATAGCGGTAGGACCTTCGGGGCGGAGGGAAGCCTCAATTCCCCAGCATCGAGCCGATTGAAGAGGCAATCCCTCAAAAGCCCCCTGGCTAGGAGCCCTATCCCAAGGGGCTCCGGGGGGGTAGCGAACAGCCCCCCCCTCCTAACCACTGGTGTTCAGATTGCGCCCCTGGGAGCTCACAAGGATTGCGTCCGCCATTGTGCCGCCAAAAACTGGAAGTCACTGGCTGCCTTTTTTCACATTCCCCCCCGCGTGCCTTTTTAACTAGCACTGAGTGGAATTTGCCCAGTCTGAAATGGACACATTATTTCACTTGGAGAGATTCCCCCTTTCCAATTCTAACAGATAGGGGGGAAAAAGATACCTAACAGCACAGCTTGCCATCTTTATTAGTGAAAGGAGCAAGTATCCAATAGCACTTTAATGACTAACAAAATTTGTGGCAGGGCATAAGTTTTTGTGGGTCACTGCTCCAGATACAGCTAAAATGTGAGTCCATCTGTCCTTATATCTTGGAGAGTGGAGTGATTTCAGATGTAAGTAACAATAGTGGGCACTGGTAATAAGAGAAGAAACCCAGGTCTCAGTTCAGGAGGATGGATTGTCTTGAGCTTCATTATCAGTTGCAATTCAGCAGTCTCTCTAATCTCCCTTTGAAATTCCTTTGTAAGAGAACTGCTACTCTTAGGTCAGCAACTGAATGTCCTGAAAGGTTAAAATGTTCCCCTACTGGTTTTTGAATGTTGTGGTTTCTAATGTCAAACTTATGTCCATTCTTTGCATCCTCCTGGACTGAATCAAGAGCTAGGTTTCCTGTCTCATTATCAATGCTGATAAATCCATGCCTACTACCCCTCTGCATATCACACCTAATCCAATCGAGCCTGCTATTGCCATTCGGCATCTGACATCACCTTTATAAAGTTTATATCTCTGGTACCTTGTGTTACATTTTATGGCACGCATGGCCCGGCCCGACAAAGTGACGTTCATGTCAGATTTTGCTCTTTTAACAGAGTTAAACAGAGTTTGACACCTCTGCATTAAGGGATATTTCTCTCAGAAGGCATTTTAACCTTCCAGGGCATTCAGTTGCTGACCTAAGAGTAGCAGTTCTCTTACAAAGGAGTTTCAAAAGGAAATTAGAAAGAGAGACTACTGAACTGCAACTGATCACAAAGCTCAAGACAGTGCAAACTCCTGAAGTGAATTGAGACCTAGGTTTCTTCTCTCATTACCAATGCCTGCTGCTGTCATTTGGCATCTGAAATCACTTCATTCTCCAAGATATAAGGACAGATGGACTCACATTCCAGCTGTATCTGAAGAAGTAAGCAGTGATTCATGAAAGCTCATGTCCTGCCACAAATTTTGTTAGTCATTTAGGTGCCGCTGGACTTTTTGCTCCCTTTCACTAATAAGGAATGCAAGCTGTGCTGTTAAGCTTCTTCTCCCCCCCCCCATCTGTTAGAAATGAAAAGGGGGATATCTCCAAATGCCATGGGATTCTCTCTCTCACTCCCTCGCTCTGGCTCCTTTCCTCCCTGAAGTGTGCAGGCACACAAAAGCTTATATCTGGAATAAAATGTTGGTCTTAAACACAGGACTCTCTCTGTGTCTCTTCCCCCCCCCCACACAAGTGTGCAGACTTCAGATGGTCTCCCTATCCACTGGCTGTGTTCCATGAGTCCTGCCCCCAACATTCTAAACAGTTTGCTGTTCCTCTCCCCCCCATAGCCAGTCAGAACACAGAGGTCATTTGCACATCTGGCATCATTGGCCTTTGCCTCTTGTTATGCCAACTTCTCCAGGAAATTCCTGGAGACCCAATCCAAGTTATCTACCAAGGAAAATTGGGTGTTTGTGGCTGTGCGTAAGTTCTATACCAGTCTATACAGAGGTCAGATGGCCAATGAAACGCTCGCTGTATCCCAGGAAGTAAGACAACACGCTAGGATTAAGAATAAATGTTGTCTTTTACTAAAGGTTTCTGCAGTCATACAAAATCGGAATCATAAAATTTCATACAAGCTCCTTAGTTACAATAGTACATCAGAACAATTACAGCATAGAAAATAACAAAAGCATCAAAATGGGGAAGACACAATGGGGCACGGCTATACTCATCTGAGGTCCAGCTGAGGAAGAACTCTCCTCCTTGGAACGCTGGGCAGCCGAAAGCAGCAGCTTGTGAACTCCAAGGCACACAGGTAGGACCAGCCAAACCACGTGTGAGCTCTCTGGGTCGCGACTCCCGGAGAACTTAAGTAGTAGAGTCACTTGTAGCACCTTAGTGCACTGCTATGGGGAAGGTGGGTTAACCAGAGAGACAAAGGAGAGTTTCTCCTTAAATAAACTCTTTTTGGGGCATGTGCTATCCAGCCATAAACTATCAAACCCGTCCTCTAAACTATCACTACTGGATGAAGAGGGGGTGACGAGGGGATGACGAAGGGGATGACGCTCTCCTAAGGGGTGGTGGCACTCTTTCCTCCCCCACTCTCTCTGAAGAAAAAGTGTGCTTGCACACAAAAGCTTATACCTGGAATAAAAACATTGCTGGTCTTAAAAGTGTCACAAGATGCCATCCCCCCCCCCCTCGGGCTCTTTCCTTCCCCCTCTCTCCACAGAAGACGGGGGGAAGGAGCCCTCAGCCAATTGCCTCAGGCTTTCTTTCTCTCCTCTGAAACAGAAAATAGGAGAGACTGGCCAAAAGGAGCTGCAACGTAAGAGGCAGGAAGCAGCACAGAGTCAGTTGCTCTTGGGCCAGATTGGAGCACTGCAGGGGCCACATCTGGCCCGCGGGCCACATGTTTGACACCCTTGTGATAGAAGGAAATTGTTTTCTGCACTGTCCATAATTTTCTCCTGACACCTTTGTTTGCTGAGCAACAATGACTGAAATACCAACAAGTGCTTTAGCCCTTTCCTCATTGCAGTGGTATTCCATTCCCCTTATAGTTGTCCTTTATTATATCCTTTTCCAACTTGCATAACCATTTCAAGATGGGATAACTAGAACCGTAATAACATTCTAAATTTGCATAATAGTATTAAGGTATGGGCTGACTTGTTTTAAATCCCTTATCCTCATTTCTAATACTGAAATTGCCTCTTTCAAAGTTTCAGTAAGGTGATATTATTGCTAAACTTTCTAAAATGCAGAGATGCTTGTGGTAGCAACAGCCAATTCAGACTTCCATCAGCATGCATTTATAAGTAGGATTTTTGTTTGCTTTACATTGACCAAGTCTGAAGTCTTTGCTAAGTACCTCTCCAAAACTGACTATTAATCCTGTGCAGATATATTGAGTTGAACCACTCACATTTGTGTTTTGCTAGCAATGAAATTGCTATCACTCCTTCAAAATGAAACAATTACCAGGTTCCCTGTATTCTCAGAGCTTAGGATATAAGAGTAAGTTAGGAAAATGTGTGTAAATTGTTACTGTAACTTCATAAGTGCTTTCACAGAACAAGAGGCTAACAACCTTGTGTTCTCTCAAGAAAGTGCAAAAAATGGTAAGGTCTGCTCGTGCCAGGACCTCATGAAGCTAGGGGAAGAGCAATAAATGAATTCTACTGTTTGTTGCTGGGGAAATATATATAAACTGTATACAGGGTTTTGTGGCTGGAGAGCTTTTGCTAAATCAAATTGGCAGTGTACAAAAGCATTTGATTGCCAATATCAGTATTTCACTTTGTGTGTATATATATATATTTTTAGAAAATGAGTTTTGTTTGATCTATGATGGTAACAAACCATACTCTGACATGCAGAAATGGATAGGCCTTCCTAATAGTTATTAGGAAATGCAGGTCTTCAACTGCTTCCAATTGATACTACCACTATATTCTTTTTTTCCCTCCAATATTTTATTGTTTTAATTTGTCAATACAGAAAGTAATATCAGAAATGCTTCAAATTGTTAAAAGTACCTCAAAATACAGTATTCTAAGTCAACGTACTTTATACAACTTAACAATATTACAGAGAAATCCTCTATTAAGCTTAAAATTATTGTCCTAATGAATTAGGAAAGTAATAGATAAGTATTCACATCACTAGCCATTTGTGATAATATGCATTGGATGGGAGTACCACTATATTCTTGTTAGAAAAGAGCTTGAAACATTAGATGCCTGGGATGTCTACCTCTAGGCTTCAGAAAGCAAGGTATACAAGCTGGGGCCTGTGAGAAACCACAGTTCACCCTAAACGTCTTCCCTTGCTGGGATGTCTTAAGCTCCTTGGGACTTCAGTACACTGACTCCCTGCCCTGTCCCCTTTTCACCCTCAGTGTTCTGTGCCTCCTGAAGCTTATTCAGTCAGGCTCTTTTTAATTTTTTTTTCTAATTTCTTAGGTATGCAGAAAATATGAAGCTGTCAATCTATTAGTATATACACACTATCTGTGAGTGACCTGATTTTACTGCTCCTGTGCACAGGGACTGGCCACATTACTGTTATATGCATCACCAAATAGCCTACTTCTCTATTCTAACTGTATCATATTGAGATCCATGGGTCCCTGAAATTATACATTCTTCCCCCCTTCCTACCCCCTAGACCAGAGTTGTCAAACTCATTTGTTTAAAGTCTGACACATTTCAGAAGCTTTTGATGAGTTGGAGTATGAAGTGCTGCATGCTGTTGCCACAGGTGCAGAAGCCAAAGCCAGGTGGGCCAAGTGACATCAGCCAGGGGAACCCAACAAAGGGTGGTTAGTTAGGTGCTGAGGAGGGGCGTGGGTCATGGTCAGTGGTAAACTATCTCCAGTGCCTGGCATAACATTTTATGGCACACGTGGCCCGGCCCAAGGAAGTGCCATTTAAGTCAGATGTGGCCCTCATAACAAATGAGTTTGACACCCCTGCTCTGGACGCAAATGTGGGCTGCAGCCAATCTTGCACCAGGGGGCGCCGTAGCCCAGGCCATAGCCGTCCTGCTTTCAAGAAGTTTCACCGGGAGAAAAAGAGGGAGCGCAACACATTGCAGCGGAGTGGGTGGGGACAGGCAGGCCGATGGCGATCTTCTTCCTGTTGGCTTCGTTTCCTCCGCCCAGGAGGGGCCGGCTGCCCTTGTCTTGGGGGCTGCATCGCAGGAGTCGCGGTAATGCCCTGTTGCATGGCGAATAGTTTGGGGCTTGCTGCACGTGCGAAGAGATGAAGGCGGAAGAGGAGCGGGTCGTCGCCGCTGCTGTCGCCCCTCTGCCCAAGCTGCTCTCTGCCCTCTTCTACGGAGCCTGCTCTTTCTTGATCGTTCTGGTGAACAAGGCGGTGCTGACTGCTTACAGGTGAGACGAGGAGCGCCTTGGATGGCAGTGGGGCGTCCTATAGGTGGAGCAAGACTAGTGCCCTTTAATTGGAAACCCATCTCCCCCCCCCCGCCCACAAAATGGATGTTCACTATTAGATATTGTGTACTAGATATATGACTGAGATTTCTTGCCGCGTCGTATTACCAGATGTTTGGTCGCAGTGTCGTCACTACTGCCTATCGGTCTTGCTCTTCGCTCCCATCCCGCCGCCCCCTCCCTGCGTTTCCCTAATTCCCCGCAGTAATAATAATATTTATTTCCGTCTCTTCCTTCCTGATCTCACAGTTGCATTTTGCAAGGTTTTCTGTGGTTCTGCGCTCTCAGGGCGGCCCATCAAAATAGCTGCTTCTTGGTGACAAGGTTCATTTCCAAAGTTCATTAGAACAAAGTTCTCAGGGCGACTAGCTGGAAAGGGAGAGTGGGGAGGAGGAGTTCTATTTGATCGTTCATTTATAGCCAATCTTTCTTCCCAACGAGGACCTGACACCCCCCACCCACCCCCGGCCTGAGAGTGTGTGACTGGCCCATGCACTTCATGGATGTATAGAGCCTGAAGAATTCTTTGTTCAAGGAAATTAATTCTTACGGGTGGCTTAAAGTTTTTTTGACATATCAGCAAATATACCAAATTTCATTACACAGTCACAATCATGTTTACTTGGAAGCCAGCCTTTTTTACTTGTTTCCAGGTACGTGAATGAACACTGAATTCACAAGTGATATTTTTAGCCCCTCTGACTGCAGCTGTTGGCATGTGTTCGGAAGAACAGGCAATTCTGAATGTGCTTATGGTGGGTGGGGGGGGAGTCAGTTTCACATCCTCACTTTGCCATGGAAGTTTGCTGGACGACTTGGGCCCATTGTTATCTTTCAACCCAACCTACCTCAGGGTTATTGATAAACAAAATTTTATCCACTCTCCTTGCAAATCTCAACGCAATCACTCTTAAGGTGGCCAAATTTTGTGCCTTGGCTCAGCTTCTAAGGAAACAAATTCTTCAGTACTTTTGTTAACTGCTTTGTATTGCTAAAATTAGTGCTTACCTAAGTTAATAATTTTCTATTGTTTTTATATGTTCTATTTGTATTTCTTTGGTGCACTTATGTTGGTGTTGGCTGATCTTGGATCATAATAAATGAAATGATGACAGGGTTAATAGGTTAAAATGAAGGAGGGAAAACCAACTATATTGGGGAGAAAAGCAACTATAAATATGTAAATAAATCAATACATGTGCTTGTAACATGGTTTCTGAATTGACTGATGGCTATGCAGAAAGATTGATTCATAACTACATTCTGTGTTTTAGAATTTACCTATGATTTTTGGCCTTGTAGGTTAACAGCTGTATGCTAGTAAAATATCTGGTGCCTCTGAGGTAATATTGCAGGCTGTGAACACCATAGACCTCCAATTCATCTCCCTTTTCTTTAGGTTGAACATCAAGAACCTGCTGGCAGAATCCAGCCGCAAGCTGAAAAATGATGAAACAGCATTAAAATCAGAGCCAGATTAGCTAAATAAATAGGTGTTTTGGGGGCCTCAAGTTTAGCAAGCATGGGGGGGTGGCGCAGGGTTTTGTTTGGACCAGAGCTCAGCCTTAGAAAGTTTGTTTTCAATGCTATTGGTTTGTGCCAGTGCCTAGAAGATCATGGCGGCCTTATGAGAATGTACAAATTGCCTTACGCTGGAGTCATCATAGCGTTCTTTCACACCTCTGGAATTAAGGGTCAGTCCATCCATATTCGTGTCTGTGGCTTCCAATCATGATGAAGACTTGGCTGGTTTTAGGAACTAAGGATTCTTGAAATCAAGAAAGGCATCTGGTAGTCTCTAGTTCCAGCTCCTGCCAACCTAGCAGTTCGAAAGCAAGAAATTGCAAGTAGATAAATAGGTTCCACTTCGGTGAGAAGGTAACAGCGTTCCGTGCCCCTTGGTGTTTAGTCATGCCGGCCACATGACCACGGAAACGTCTTTGGACAGCGCTGGCTCTTCGGCTTTGAAACGGAGATGAGCACCGCAACCCTAGAGTCGGATTCGACTGGCTTTCGAGCAAGGGAACCTTTACCTTTACTTTTTACTGGCAATGAACTTTGGAACAAAATAGAAATCAGGGAGAGTAGACTTCAGAGATATAGACAGCAGAACTGGAGGAATTGGTAGAAGACAGGGCAGCAGAACATGTTGCTGGGCTGTGGAAATACAGATTTGCCACCTCTGTGCACTTTCTGTAACAGGCTCACAGCTTTGGCAGGAGGGCCAAGGATCAGTTGCAGGGTGGACCCACCAGGAAGACAGACAAAATATGTATAAGCAAAATAGGACAGGGCTGGGGGGGGGAAATAAAATCCCCGTGTTTAGTGTTTTAAACTAAAGTTTTCCATTAGTGAGGGCTAGAGCCAAATAAGAACCTCAACAGCTTAAAAAAAGATCTATTCAGAACACTGAGAGTAATGGAAGCTAACAATAAGGGATTCCTAAGGATGCAGGTGGGAAAACTCAGTTGTGGATGAGTTTGCTAGTGAGATCAGCTGCTGTGTACTACTGACAATACTAGGCAAGTTTGGCCATTCATTTTGACTTGGAAGTGTAAACTTTAAACTGGTGATGCTGCTGTGATAACTACTTAAACTAGTTTTAAGTGGCAGTGTAGCTCCACTGTTAGGCAGCTCTCTCTGAAGTACTGTTCTGTCTCTGTATGATGAATAAGGTCACCAACTCAAGGTGACCTGGAATTCTCCTGGAGTTACAACTGATCTCCAAACTACCGAGACAAGATACCCTGCAGGAAATGGCAGCTTCAGAAGGTGGACTGTATGGCATCACATCGCTGCTGAGATCCCTCCCATTCCCAAATTCTGCCCTCCCCAGCCACCACCATCAAATCTCTAGGCATTTCCCAAGCTGGAGTTGGCAACCCTAATGTTGAAAGAGGAAGAAAATCATATGTTATTGAAGGAATAGGCTTTCTAAGCTACCAAAAAGTATATGGTAGCTTTCATTCATATGAATTCCCAATATTTCATACTGACTACTTGTTACATAGCTTTTTTACTATTGGCATAAAAATGTAGTGCTGAAAAGTTAGGTATTTTCATAATTCTACAATAACCCACCCCATATTGACATACACCACCTGTTTTCAACGTTAACATAAGGGGAGCTCAGTGGCCCATCTAGCCTGGCATCATGTTTCCCAGTGGCCAGCCCCATTAACCCAGAATGTCCACAGGCACAGAGAGCAAAGCCTCTCTCTGGTGTTGTTCCCAGCAACTGGTTCTCAGGCATATGCTGCCTCTGAAGATGGCTAATAATAGTTAAATATTCTCCATGAATTTGTCCAGTTTCCTCTCAAAGCGGTTTGAGCTGGTGGTTCTCTCCACATCATTGTTTATTTAGTGTACTTTTATTCTGCCCTTCCTCTTTTGAGTTTAAGGCGGCAGCGTACATGGTTTTCCCCTCCTCCATTTTATCATCACAACAGCTCCGTGAGATAGTTTAGTCTGAGACGGGGTGACTGGCTGAGGTCACTCAGTAAGGTTCACAGGTTTGAATGTGAATCTCCCAGTCTTATTCCAGCACACTAACTGCTATATAAGACTGGCTTATCTTTCAGTGGTTTCTTTTTTTTTAGTGAGTGTGTGTGTGTGTGTGTGTGTGTGTAAGTCATGGTTGACTTCTGGCAATCCCTAGTGGGGCTTTGACGTTTTGGAGAGGTGGCTTATTATTAGCTGCCTCTGCATCCCGGTCTCCCACTCAAGTATTTGCCAGGGTAGGCCCTGTTTAGCTTCCAAGATCTGACGAGATCGGACTTGCCTGGGCTGTCCAGGTCAGGGCTCTTTCAGTGGTTTCTGAAACACATTTATTCTTACTTTCTAGCGCAGAAGCAAGCACTGACATTTTAAATAACTTTAGGGTGATAAGTTTTGTATTTTGAAGAACTTTCTTTGTAGAATTTCAAGTAATGGATGTACATTAGCTTATTTTAAAAAGACGCTTAATACACTTTTTTCTTTATAGATTCCCATCTCCATTGTTTCTGGGAGTTGGACAGGTATGTTCAACAATTAAAGGTACTACACATCATTGAACTTGGTAAATAGGCCAATTTGGAGAACCAGGGTTGGCCATTGTTAATGAATTGGAGACTCTGTTTTGCATGATTGAGTTTTACTGACCTTTTTGAGAAATCATTGTGGATATTAACCAAATATCTAGCACTTATTTCTGCAGTCATGCCATTTTAGAGGTCCAAAAAGTTGGATAGGTTGAAGGGAGGAAGAAATGGTGAGTAGTTGTTTCCCCTTGCACACCATCTGATTGCTAATACATGTTTCAAGGTGTGTGTTAGTCACTGGGCAACTTTTTGATGCTTCTTCCATTCCAGAATAGCAGCACCTATTTAGGGTTAGCCTTAGTTACTGGAAATTGTGCAAACTAGGCTGAAAATTCTATATAGGGTTAGCCTTCACTGGAAATTGTGCAAACTAGGCTGAAAAAGAAGGTATTTAAAGACGCTGTTGCAGTGTAACAATACCATTCTTAGGTAGGGCAATAGAGTAAGTTGTCTCTGGTCCACCCCATCTGTGTATTCCAAATAGTATTTTGCCTTCGCTGCATGCCTGATTATGCCTTCTTTCTTTTTTAGATGGTGACCACGATTCTGATCTTGTATGTGTCAAAATTAAATAAAATCATTCACTTCCCTGATTTTGACAAAAATATCCCTAAGAAGGTAAGATATGCACTGATCTTAATTTGAGGGGTCGTTGGAATTCCCAAGATGTTATTGGTCCTTAAAGTCAGTAAGAGATAATCCTATTGTGGGTTGGGGCTGTGGGAGGGGGGACTGACTCCCCCCCATGCCATTCTTCCAGTTTAAAAAAAAATCCCCCAACTCCCTGGCTGCTTCATGTCATAGTACAGAAAAAAGACAAATATAGTTTTTATCTTCTTCCCCCCATTGGGGCTCACATTTGCTATAGCGAGGTATATGTTTGGGGATAGAAGAAAGAAAGGTTACATTGCCAGTTAGCTTCCAGGAAGATGCACGCTTCTAATCAGACATACAGAACTGGTTTTGTACCATGTAAACTTGTCTTTTGGAGATAGATAGCTAATATGTGCAAACAGTAGACAGAATCTTTAATTGCCACCTAGGCCCACGTTGACCAAATCTGTGTTGTGGCAAACATTGCCATTGGGAGCCCTCATACTCTGTTTAGCCAGGATCAGAAGTCTGACATTCCAAGTGGTTTTGTAGGGTTCTCACCCCCCCCCCCATTACCATGGGCCTTATCTTTAATTCTTGTGATATCAGTGTACCTTTATTGAAGCAAGAGAAGCTGCAGCAGTTTATCTTGATTACAACAAAGTGCACAAAATTGAATGAGTGTAATCATTGACAAAGGTTTACTTTTATATATATCTTTTTACAGTTACTGGATTGTAGCTAGTTGTATGAAGATGCTGTTGAAGTGTATTTCTTTCATAGTACTATGAAATGGATCAAAACTGACTGGTGGTCTCATTTTATTGCAGCTGTTTCCACTTCCTCTGATTTATGTTGGAAATCACATAAGTGGATTGTCAAGCACAAGCAAGCTAAGGTACAATAAAAACTAGATCATTAACCAACAATTTGGTTTTTATTTAAGTTTTGTGAGTAAAAGGTCTGAAGCTGAAGTCTGGGAATATCAGAGCTAGGACATGTTTCTCTCTACATTTGGAGAGAAGGTATATTACTATGTTGATAGACCGTGTGAGGAGTCTTGGGGTTTAAAAGCAGTTCACATATTAGTTGCTGCAGTTACGCAGAATTTGCACATCTTGTGCTTGGACAAATTATGATAAAATTAGCAATTCTGTTTACACCGCTCACCTTGGATCTGACCTTTCCTGAGCAGAGCCCACAGAAGGGATCTTTGCGGTTTTCTCCTTTTCTCCAGTCTCCCTCCCCACAAAAGGCTCTCTTGAAGATTGGGCATGAGCAACCCTTGAGAACAGTGTGGGATGAGGTACAAGAAATGGAAGTGGGGAATTCTCCCTCCCTTGAGCAAAACTTGCACCAGGAGGGGCAGTGCTGTCTGCTGACTTTACCTCTTTCCAGTGCTGCTACCTTGTGTCACTACTCACTGCTTTTCGGGGGCCCTTGGCTTTCAGGAACGAGTTTTGGGGGGTGAAAGAGGCTGGAGGCAGACAGGAAAGGCATCAAAGATCCCTTTCACAAACTTGTCTGCTTTGCTCAGAGGTCCAGTACATTATGTTTTGTATTTTGATATTTTCTTTTTTTGATTTAATGTGTGCCAGTCTGATTCACATATACTAAATTCATATATGTAGCCACTTGAAATGTAGAGGTGTAACAAATATGTTCTGCGCCATAAGCCATTGGTGTCCATAAAATCCACCTGAATTGGTATGCAGAATGGCAACATGAGGAGGCAGTGATGTTTGCCACGTGTAGGCTAGGAACCCACAATGACTTGTGGAGGGCATCTCCTCTCTTTTTCCCTTCCCTTGCCTAAGATCACCCAGTGAGTTCAACAGCAGAATGGCGATTTGAACCTGGGCCTCCAGATCCAAGCCTGAAAGTCCATCCCTTTGGCCACGTCCTGCAAATCATGTGGTTGCAAGTTGCCCAGTGGTTGCTGCTGGGCCAGGTCTGCCTTGTTTGCTCCAGTCTGTGGATTTAAGGATCCACAGATCTGGCCGTGTTGAGAGTATGTGTGTGTTTGCGTGTGTGTGTATCACAGATATTCAAAAAGAATTGAAAAACTGAATTTGAATGAAGAAATGGTTCTACCTTTTAGTGACAGAAACCAAAATTTGAAGGCTGGCAATAATATTGCAGCAATGACCACTAAGACTATTTGTTTCTTAAAACTAAAAGTGCTATTTTTATTATTTGGGGTGGTTTGACAAACCCCCCCCCCCCAAGTATTTAATTTAGATTTCAGGGTTTGTTTGTTTTTCGTGAACCTGGGGCTATTTTTATGTCTGCCTTGTTTGCTCCAGTCTCTGGATTTAAGAATCCACAGATCTGGCCATGTTGAGAGTATGTGTGTGTTTGTATGTGTGTGTATCACAGATATTCAGAAAGAATTGAAAAACTGAATTTGAATGAAATTAGGAAACGTATTAGCTTTTCAAAAATGTATGTTTATAGGGCCAGCTAATAATCACTGCCATAAACTTTGATGGTCATTAAGATTTCAGTAGGTCCTCAGAACTTCTCCCTGTGGCTCCCCTTCATGCTTCACATTAGTAACCGGTAACTGGTGTATGACGGATGGCCGGCTGATGGGACAACTTTTTCTTAGCACAGTTCAGAAATTCTGAGGATTTTTGTATTGCAGAGCACAAGTAACCTAAGGGTTACTTAAAAGTGGAGGTGCACTATCGCCCACCTGATCAAACCCTTGAGGCTGATCTTGAGATGGAGAAGGAAATAAAGGAGGTGACTAAAGCAGATAATTAAGGGGTTAGAGCACCTTCCCCATGAGGAAAGGCTAAAGGGTCTGGGACTTTTCAGTTTAGAAAAGAGACAACTAAGGGAGGACATGATAGAAGTTTATAAAATTATGCATGGGGTGGAAAGAGTTGACAAAGAGATATTTTCCCCCCTCTCTGGAAATACGGGGGCATCCAGTGAAGCTGATGGGCAGTAGGTTCAGGATAGACAAAAAAGGGTGATTAAACTTTATACAGAGAGTGATTAAAATGTGGAATTCGTGGCCAGGGGATGTAGTGGTGGCCACAGGAATAAACAGCTTTAAAGGGAGTTAGATAGATTCATGAAGGATAAGTCTATCAGTGGCCACTAGCCATGGTGACTGAGGAGAACCTCCACATTCAGAGGCACTAAACCTCTGAATCCCAGAGCCAGCAGGCAACATCAGGGGAAGACCTCGGCCTCTATGTCCTGTTGTTGGCTGTCCAGTGGAACTGTTTGGCCACTGTGTGAAACAGGATGCTAGACTAGATGGAGCATTGGTCTGATCCAGGAGGGCTCTTTTTATGTTCTTATGTTAAGTTTCTTTCTTTTTTTAAGTCTCATTTCCAGCAATACTGTTGTCTAATCAGCCTTTGGTGTCAGTCTGACATTTGGCTGTAAGAGAGGCTGAGAATTTGTCCAGGCTGAGTCTTAATGCTAGCCTGATTATGTCATCCTCAATTCAACAAAAATAGATAAGAACTAATAAAAGAGCTTGCAACTGACCTAACCTAGGTTTATTTGTGTTTTTTTAAAAAAAACAGCTTGCCAATGTTTACAGTCCTTAGGAAGTTTACCATTCCACTTACATTACTGCTGGAAGTCATGATACTTGGGTAAGTATTTGACACTCATTTTTTAAATACCTCTGAAGTCTAACTGATCAAATAATTTTTTGTGGTATTGGGTCAGAATGCTTAGATGGGTGATTTTTCCCCCCTGGCTAGTAGAATTCGAAATAAATATTTGGAATCTTTGGAATACTTGCCAGGAAAAAAGAAATTAGCTGTTTCAGTTTGTGGGAAACAAGAAATTTGTGGCCAAATAACTGGTTGATTAGTTGTACTGAATATATGAGAATTAGCCACCACACCTTGCCACTTACCTGTGTTTTGGCCCCTTACCGTTACTAGGTCATAGTGCTGGAGCCCCAGCTGGCACACAGTTCTCAAAGGTATGGTCAGAATCTAGGTATAACCCTTCACCTTACCAGTCTCCTTCTTTTCTGTCCTTGCATTTACTTTTTAGCCCAGCTGCATTTTCTCAGTGGAGCTGTGTCCACTCTCCCTGTTGTTCTGTCAGGTTCCTAACTTTGAGCTCCCTGCCTTTTGTGTCCCGCTTCCTTTAACCATACCATCTTGGCCAGCCTCCTTTGTGTTCCTGTCTCTCAGCCTTCTGCATGCAGTCTTTTCAGGCAGTAAATGCCGTGAGATTATTTCAGAGTTCCCTCTGGCTTCAACATCCAGTTTCATCTGCCATTTTTCTTCATGTCTCCAACCAATAACCTTTCCTCAGGTTCTGGTTTTTCAGTTCATTAATTACACCACCCCTTTTCATCAGCTGCATTTATAGTCTTGCCATTCCTTAGCTTTTCTACCACCTGAGACAACTTCTCAGTCCTCAGTGTACAATGATACCTCTTACCCTAAGGCCAGCATAGGATATGCAATTTTCCCTTTCCTCACGTAAGATGGATTGCAAACCTTCTTTGCTCCCTGAGTAATTTGAATGTTTGTAAACATTGCACATCACACCTGTTCAGCCATTCCATGTTCACTATTGCAAGCACACGGTGATAGATATTATTATGTGTCTTGGTCTGGTTGGTTCCTTATTCTTATTCTGGAGTTAGAAAATGATTTTCTCCTCTTAAGGTCAAAATGCAAGTGGATTTCACCTACATTTTAGGGAAAATGGGTTTCCCTTTCCTATGAAGCATCAGTCATGTGCGAAGATACCTTATTTGTTAAAACATTCTTACCTCTCCGCTCACCTAATCAAATGGCAGCTTAGAAATTCAAGTGTGAGCCACACTATCCAAGCACATTAAAACTGATTAGGGTTAGGACAATGGTGCATGCATGCTAAAGAGGAAGTTCAATTGAAATCAGTGAGAGTTATTTCCATGTAAAGATGTATAGGATTGTGATGGGCTTGTTCATAAAGGCCAACTTTTTCTTACCTAGCGCAAGAGAAAATGTAATTTAAACTCCAAATCAATACTCTTCATTATGAAAAAAGTCCTTTAAAGGACTCGGCTGCCCCCAGTCCCTGTTGTGTAGTTTTGAAAAAAATGGTATAGCACTTCAGGGAATCGTAGCTCCTCATGGCCACTGGAGCTCATGCCCCCTTAGCAAATCTGTGCAAGAACTCAAAATGTTGAGTTGGCTTAGATTTTACAGTTCTGCAGGGCCTGCAAGACAGAGCTCTCCCGCCAGGCCTTCAGTTGAGGCAGCGGGTATCCAATTCAATCTGGCCTCCCCCTCCCCTTCCCCCATGAGTCGCTTTTATGTGTCTGTTGAAGTATAATTTATTTTAAAGTATCAGTGTTTTATTTCTTTTATTGTATTTATTGTGTGTATTTTGTTATTCTGTTTTTGTGATGTGAATCGGCACTCAGCAGATTATGATAGGCTGGAACCCGCCCTGAGCCTGCTTTGCAGGAAGGACAGGATATAAATTGAAGGAAATAAATACATTTATTTAATTCTGGGTATAAGCTTTTGTGTGCATCCACACTTCTTCAGATACATTGAGACAGTTTTCCTCGAGCCTTACATATAGGTAGAGAGAGTGTGAGGAGGGGTTAGTTGCCTGGAAGGGCTAGTTAGAAACAACATGTGTAAGTAACTGAGTGATAAGTATAGCTGGGGTTGGATGAAAGCAATTGGTAAAACCTGTGAACGGCAGCAAATTAGCATACAAATACAAGAGTTAACAAACAGATGTGAGAACTAAGGTGCCACTGGACTCAAACTTAGTTCTCATAGCTATTTGTTAACTCTTGTATTTGTATGCTGATTTTCTGCCCTTCACAGGTCTTACCAACTGCTTTAATTCGATCTCAGCTTAATTTATCACCCAGTTACTTGTGCATCTTGACTTTAACTAGGCCTTCCTGGCAACTACCCCCCCCTGACCCTCTCTCTACCTACGTGTAAGGCTTGAGGAAAACTGTTTCAATGTATCTGAAGAAGTGTGCATGCACACGAAAGCTTATACCCAGATTAGAAAGAGAGATTGCTGAATTGCAACTGATAACGAAACCCAAGACAGTGCATCCTCCTGGACTGAATTACCAATGCTGATTTATCCATGCCTGCTACCTCTCAGCATATCATAACTAATCCAATCATGCCTGCTATTGTCATTCACCTGGTGTTGTCATTTGGCATCTGAAATCATTCCTCTTTCCAATATAGAGGACAGATGGACTCACAGTCTAGCTGTATCTAAAGAAGTGAGCAGTGACTCACAAAAGCTCATATACTGCCACAAATTTTGTTAGTCTTTAAGGAGCTACTGGACTCTTGATCTTTTTTCCCTGATATTGTCTGTCTTTATAGGAAGCAGTATTCATCGAGTGTTGTACTAAGTGTGTTTGCAATCCTCCTTGGGGCTTTCGTAGCAGCTGGGTAAGACTTTAAACCATTGGCTTTTGCTCTTTGAGTGTACCCAAGGATGCCTTCTCAAAGACAATTGCAGATATTCACCTAGAAAATGTTACATTGCAACATTCTTTTATCCCAGTCATCAAAACAGTCTCTGTTAGATAATTGATGAAGGGGAAGACATGGGATTCTGCACAAATTATCCCAGATTTTGAAACTAGAAGAGGGAAGAGCAATTTAATTAACTGAATTTGTCCTTGGAATAAATGTAAGTTGAAAATATATCAACTTTGTTTTGATTGCACAGTTCTCTTCCAGGATTGGAGTTCTTTTATTCCAATCTTCTTGCCACTGACTGAGGAAGAGGCTGGGATTCCCTGAATGTTGGGTCAGCCTGGACAGTCCAGTACACAGTTAATCATGTTTAAGTTGAAATAAAGCATGTTTCTACTGAATATGGTCTGGGTGCAGAGAGAGAGAGAGAGAGAGGATAATGATACCGGTGCACAGAGAGAACTAGGGCCAGGCTTACCAGCTGGCCTAGAGAGAAAAATGTCCTGTCTTTTTAATAGAAGCTGAATGGGATCTTGCCATGAAAAGCATCAACTGTCCATTTCCACATATGAAGCCTCTTTAAAGAGACACCAAATGAAGAAGTGTCATGCCTTGCGAAGCAGAATTGCCTTTCAGGGTTTTTTTACTTCAGGATACTGACACCTAAATACTTGACACACCTTTTTGTTTTTTAAAAAAACCCTTCCTGTACATTTAAAGTTTTGTTATCTGGGCACTCATGGGACATGGGGGTTGCCAGATAATCAAATATGCTGGATGCTCAAGCGAATGCTCTGCCCCTTCCCCCCCTACCCAAAGGAATCCTCAGTGACCAAATCCCACCCAACTAGGAATGGCGTGATGACACGTTTCATACTTAGCAGGGCTTTCCCCCTTCCCCCTCCAGCCACAGAGCCATCTTGTGCAACAGACAGATAAGCAGGCCAGTTGCCCAGCTGGATCCGGTACAGCTGGATCCTGGCCACTTGAGGCAAGCTGAGGGGGCAGGAGGTACAAGAATGACATCCCTGGCCCAGCAATGACCAGAGGCATCGAGCTGGCCAGCTGGAGATACTGCCCATCAGTATCAAAAGATTTTATTATGTGGCTGGGGAGCGAGGGGCTTTTTGAAACACACAAGTCTAAGTTTCCCTTCGGTGATAGACACCAGTTACACAGTATTTTTTTAATCAACGCTTGTACAGCATTAACATCAATTAAAAACTAACTTTGGATGCATGTGGCTTGCCATTGTACTGCATGTCACGTACATGCAAAATGGCAAATAAAAAAAATGGATGCAAATAAATGAGAGGATATTACCCTTAGCAAAGTATTGTCTTAGTCATCTGTCTCCCACTGCTTCTTGCACATTTGCTGAGTGGTGGGGATGTTACAGGTTTAATATTTATCACTGGGGAAAGTTGAGCATAATTAATTGGAAAAATGTCTTAAATATAGAAGTGGTTAGAGGTAGGAAGCAGAAGATCCAAAGTAACAGAAGGTCTTCTCACAATCTGCTGAACAACCTCTGTTAGTTTCTGTGGAGCTCACCCAAGAATGCCACAAGCTCCACTGAATTTGACAGCGATTCAGCTATAGTTCTTGTTAGATTATGTTACTAGCCAGTTGCTGGGCGTTCCTTTTTTCTTAGTCTGATCTTAGTTTTGGCTGTATGGAACACTGAAGTAATTATTGAAAACGTTGCCAGGAATGAATCAAAGTAAACCCTGAGTAAAATGTCGAGTAGAATTGTGTAGTGTTGTTGTTTTTTACTGCTCTAAATGCTTGAGAATTTGCTGTTTTGTGTTGACAGGTTTATAATACTTAAATGATTTGTGGAGCTACCCCAGAACACATAACTGTACAAACAAAGACGCTACCATTGGGGCCTTTTAAAAAATGCTTTTCTCTCTACATACTCTCTTTTAGATCTGATCTGGCTTTCAGTTTGGAAGGCTATGTTTCTGTGTTGCTGAATGATATTTTCACTGCTGCAAATGGCGTTTACACAAAGCAAAAAATTGACCCCAAGGTAATTTTACAGGGTTTTCATTTGTCCTCCTGTCCTAGCATTTCCATCAGTGCTAGAAAAAATATTTTAGAAGCCATAGGGTTTTCATTTGTCCTCTATCCTAGCATTTCCAGCAGTGCTAACATTTTGTTGCACGACTTTATTAATCAAAACATGAGCATGTCTTCCGTCAGTGCTAGAAAAAATATTTTAGAAGCCAGCTATGCATTTATAGATTCCATGTCAATATCCTGCGGCGGGAACATTGAAATTATCAGGCTCTTGGGTGACCTGGCAGTTTCCAAGCCTTGACATGCCTTTTGGTAACTGTCTATTTTTTAAGAAGCTGAAGTATCTGAAGGGAGCCCATTAGGGTGGGGTCAGCTAGATCAGGATATATACTGTGATTACAAGCTTCTTCAATGTTTGGAACTCTGTTGAGATGATTATTTTGCAAGCAGTGATTTAATACACATCTGTGAGTAGATTAGTATATACAGGGGTCTTGTTGTAGAAAAAGAGCTGCCGGAGCTCATTAGCATAACTCATTAGCATAACTTATTTGCATATGCCACGCCCCCTGACATCACCGGAAGTGACAGAAAGCCACACCCCCTGACATCACCGGAAGTGTGTCAGAAGGCCCGGCTACTTACCCTCCTGCTTCATCCTCATTCCCAAACGGAATGAGGATCGAAGCAGAGGGCGGGGTAAAGAAGGGGGCGGGGCTTCACCACGTGACCGCCCCGCCCCCTAGAGGTTCTCTTCTGGAGCTCTGTACCTGAGAGCTCCCCCCCGACTAGAGCCCTGAGTATATACATGAAGCTGCCGTATACTTAGTTCTTTGGTCTGCCAAGGTCTGTATTGTGTGTATTGTCTGTTTCAACTGGCAGCAGCTCCTTAGGGGCCCCAGGTAGAGGTCTTTCACATCAACAACCCCTGATCCTTTTACTTGGAGATGCTAGGGATTGATCCTGGGACAACCGCTGAGCACCCACCCCTCCCTAGAAGTGTGTGTCACATAAATGCATATTTATAGGCACTGTAGACAGGCAGAGTAATGTAGTACAGTTATTAATTTTGTTTCCCACTCCTGCTGGCATTAGGTAATATTTGAGATTTTAGTAGAAAAATCTCCAAGTAGTTTAATGCTCTTTAATTAGCTTGCCAATTAAACAAGTGTGTCTGTTTTATACAGGAGCTGGGAAAATACGGAGTCATTTTTTATAATGCCTGTTTTATGGTAATTCCAACAGTTCTCATCAGTTTTTTCACTGGGGACTTCCAGCAGGTAAGTGGCATGTACAAAACACAGGATGGAACCATAATTCATTATTTCCATGGAATATAATCCCCAGAGTGTGGTTTCAAGTGACCGTTTGAAGCCTGGGAGCTTTTCCAAAAAGTGCAGCTAGACAGATTGCTAATCGTAGACCAACATTACTCTGACTACCAAATGAAGCAAGGTGTTGGTGTACCCAGCAACTGGAGAAGTGAATGCATGTTTGTGGTTGCCTGACCAGATGTCTCTGATCACTGGCTCCCCACTTGGGAATGATCACATAGATGTTTTTAATCTGTGGTCATGCTGCAGGTAGCTGCTTAAAACTGGCTTTGGCTCATTCTCTGTATTTAGGGCCACACCCAAATAATATTCATTCTACCACTTTGCTATTGATTTCAAGGAAATTATGGAGAATTCTCAAGGCTGGCAACATTCTGACCATGAGGAGCCAGCTGACTTGGAATTTAAAGCAATTAATTGTAAATATATCATTTGTAACCAGTATCTTAATTTATAATCATTTTCCGTCTATTAAAAAAGTAAGCCTGGCTTGGATCCAGATTCCTGTGAGCAGAGCAACATAGCATTTTCCCCTCTCCCATTCATACTGGTCCTTTGAGCCCCCCAGGAATTCTGCTTCTAGGCATTAGAGACCCCTAGCAAACAATGTGGTAGGCAAAGTGAGGGTCTGCAATGGGAATCAGCAGATATTCTCTCTGTCAACAGAAACACTGTTCCGCTAGTAAAAGTGCCATGGGACTGGTGAAACGATGGGAATCAGCAGATATTCTCTCCCTTCCTCTGTCAACAGAAACACTGTTCCACTAGTAAAAGTGCCATGGGACTGGTGAAAGAGCACCATTCGGATTAAGAACATAAGAAGAGCTCTGTTGGATCAGACCAGTGGTCCAGCTAGTCCAGTATCCTGTCTCACACAATGGCCAAACAGTTCCTCTGGACAGCCAACTACAGGGCATAGAGTGCTGGCACTGGGATTCAGAGGGTTACTGCCTCTGAACATGGAGGTTTCCCTCAGTCACCATGGCTATTAGCTACTGATAGACTTATCCTCCACGAATCTAACTTTTAAAGGGGTCTGTTCCTGTGGCCATCTCTACATCCCCTCCTCCTGAACAGCTGTTGGCTGTTTAAAAGGGCCCTGTACCTGGATGCGCAGCTACAGTTACTTCTCTGACTAGGGATCTGTGTGCAGAATCTTGCATTTGCACACCCAAGTGTCCTTAGTTGTATTGAGGTATGAACTTGCAGGGAATTCTTTATCAGAAGTCATCTTGTAAGCCATGTAAATGCTGAGTAACGACACTATAAGTATGTCATCAGTTAAATATCTGAAATGTCTATTTTTTCATTCACTAGGTCACTGCTTTCAAGCAGTGGACCAATGTTTTATTCATTGGACAATTTCTGCTTTCCTGTATACTGGGGTAAGACATCTTTTCAAGTAAACAAGGAATGGCTGGTGCAGTTTTGCATCTCTTGAAGCTACTCTTGGCCTTCATATAGCCAGCAGTCTGAGATAACAGCAAACAACTGCAACAAGTGAAGAAAGAAAACAATGTACTCATTGTCCAGTGCTTGCACGATGTCTTGGCACCTATTTGGGAATTATTCTTCATGGGGGAGCAAAGATAATTTCCATGTTATTCATTTCTGTTATAGGAAATGTCACTAGTTCTTCATCTTATTTGGCTTCTGTGCCCCCTTCCAGCATTGAAGGGTTATAAAGATGCAAAGTAACATCCTTAATTTTGCCACTGTTTTAGTATATCGAATGCTGCTAATAATGCAATCATAAGCAGAGTGCCACCATCCTAGGGGCAGAGGTAGATGATATGGTGTCCTCAGGGAAACTGCAGCCATTTTACCTTAGGAGTTATTTTGCTTTTAAAAAGCCATGCAGGCCTAATCCTGCTCAGGACCACAGAATGGGGAGGCACCTGTCTTCTTTCTCCCCAACAATTTCAGGAGCCCCATGGGTGTGGGAGAAGGCTGCAGCCCCCACCCCCCCACACTTGTGGTCCTGAACACGATTGGGGCCCCATGGCATTTTTAATCAGGATAATTCCTGGAGTGCAATGGTTATGGTGTCCTGAGGGTGCTGTATCATGTAGTTGTACCCTGAGTCCATTGAAGTCAGTGGACTTAGAAAGTATAACTTTTCTTAAGACTGTAAGTCGTGTGGCAGTTTCTGATCATGTTTCACATGACAATGTGGAAATTGCTGTGGCATTGCATAATTTATTTAGGCCTTCAGAAGAATCTCTTCTTGGATTACACTGTGGCAGAAATTTTGTCTTTTTTCAAAACATCTAGTATACATAGCCATGTCCAAGATGGACACTGACTATTGCTATGTGAACATCAGTGTGCAGCCATGATGATAATAAGGTTGTAATTTTATTGGAGGAGGGATAATCTTACTTTCTGGAAGGGAAATGCTGGCTGTTAAGATACAATTCTGTGCTTTAGGTTTCTTCTGATGTATTCTACGGTTCTCTGTAGCCACTATAATTCTGCCCTCACAACCACAGTGGTTGGTGCTATCAAGGTAAGTGAACCAGGGATGGAATGAAGCTGGGTGAGCATGTCAGAACTAGCCATGGAAACTGTGAAGCAGTCTTGTATCTGTTTTGTTGTGTCCAACTTTAAACGGTTCATTTCATTGTCTTGATGGTAGTGCATCATTAGCTGTTAAGGAGAGTTTAATTGGAAGGGCTGTCCTGTATAGAAGGTGTTTTTGAGGGAAGATGTGCATTTTTTATTGAGTTGGGGAATAGGGTAGCGGTAATGAAAAAGGGGCTGAACATGTGGTTTTGGTGAGTGGTAGGCATACTGGACCTGTAGGACAAACTGGAGAGCTGAGCCGAGGCATCTTCTTCCCATTTTACAAGTTAGCCCCCTCATGGCAATTAGAATGAGCTTTTTCATTTGGAAACTTTTGTGTTTGAAAGGACACAAAAAGTGGTATGATGGAGACCAGATTTCATCTATCCACCATGGGGGGTGGCTCTGCAAACTAAGGCAAGCATGGTATTATTCACTGACCATTTCTCCAAGAAGAACATTTGATGTGTCAGTTGGAGGGTGACTTTCTCATGTGTAACAATTAACTAAAGTGATGTTACTGATGACACTATTTTTTAACTCAGTGAATGGGTGAAAAATAAATACATTTATGTTACTATTCAATGGAAATCTAGCCCTCTTAGAAAATTTGGAATCTGGCTGTTAAAAAAATTGAGTTTATTGATTGAATACAAATATAAATGACTACAGTCTGAAACAGCAAAACATAGTAAAGTAGGATGATCACCATCATCACCCATTGACCTGGTTAAATCAATCAAAGGAAAATCAGGGTGGTTTCTTTTAGTGTTTGTAAATTCTTATCTTAAGAAGCACATGTAGAAACACGATGCTGATAAGAGGCTAACTGGAGTGATCACTTTTTGTTTGCAGAATGTGTCCATAGCATATATCGGAATGCTGGTTGGTGGAGACTACATCTTTTCTGTGTTGAACTTCATAGGGCTCAATATCTGGTGAGCATAGTTTGGAATCCATGTCACAGTCTTATACGTGTCTGGCATAGATGTCTGATTTTGTGTGTGCCTTCTCTTTTAGCATGGCAGGGGGACTGAGATACTCATTTCTAACGATACAGGGACAGGACAGCCCTAAGCACCCAACAGATGAAGAAAATCTAATGCCCATTGCCAAGAGCTAGCAAAATGAAGTTATATGAAAAGCCAGAAGAATGCCTGCTCTGGTGGAAATCAGGCAAGCACATGCAGGAATGGGACCAGAATAAGACTGAATCTACCTCACCGCGTATTGTGGCCCAAGGCATCATCGGCTGGGACCGAATTTGACATCTGGAAAGCAGTAGTCAGCAGATGTGCTTGATTCTTACGTATCAGGATGCAATAATGCAGTATTTTTGCACTCTCCTTGAGACAGCTAGCAAGTTAGGTGATACTTTGTTCCTGCACAGAAAATTCTTGTGTTTAGCTAAATCCAATTTTTCCCCTAATTTTACATTGTCAGAGCTCTTAACTGTCAAAATGCTCTCATTTAAATACATTTGATTTGCTGCTAAGTTATCTCGTTGTTGACTGTGGAATCTAGAATAAAATGCTAGCTTAAACTATAAGAAAGGTTTAGAGGTGTGCAAACAGAATTGTCAAGTTGCTGCTCTTTCCAAAAGTGAGCACACTTCTACAGCCTGTTCAGAGCTTAATGTGTTGCTCGACTTACAGGTAGCTGGCTGATGCATCGTCTTTTCTTGTGGCTCCATCCGCCTCTATAATGGTACAGCTCAAAGTGCAGCGAGTACTCATGCAGAAGCCTTATCTCCTGGGTCAACCCCTGCTGTACTACAGGGTCTTAAAGTGCACAGCCTGTATCATCCCAGGAATGTCCCCACCAGCCTTTTTTGTGCACTTCCTTGTACACATAGCTAAGTACTGACTGCCCTAAAAGCACATCTGATACCGGAAATATGTTGTGCCTTAAATGCCTTGAAGTCAACCTTGCACTCTCTGTATGGAATAAGGGCTTCTTCTCTTATCATGGCAGTTGTGTTTCCTTAATTCTCTCTGTGATGCTATTACTGTTGGTGAAATCAAAGCCTTCTTCCAGTCATCTGTTCTGTACTGTCACAGCCTTCCATCTTTGGCTTAGTTGAGAGAAAGCAATGAGAGAAAGCCAAGAGAGCACGAAAAGTTATGAAAGAGAGCTGTGCAGATGCCCTAAAACACATTTTCAAGAACGTTCCCTTTTAATGCCACGCACTGCTTGTTGATGATGACTGGGATGTGCAAACCCAGGACATTCTGGACAGGTGGCATAAAATGATATTAAAAAGATGCCCTGTTGTTGACCAAGGACAGGATGGCTGTTCAAAACTCATCTGTTCAGTAGGATTTTTACTTAAGCTCTGTATTCTGTTTAAGATTTATTTAGCCATGAGGTGGAACTAGGGTGAGCTGTATTCTGTGCATGGAGGAGATAAGATCATGACTTCTGGCACAAATATACTGTCTGGTATTTAGCACATTAACAGTTGCTGTCAAGGTTGCAAACTGCTATGTGTTGCATCCTTGTTTCTGGACGATGCACTTGGACTTCTGACCTGCCCAGCAGCAGCATCCCTTTCACCCACTCCATAATTTGGACCTGTCCCCACTCTGCTCATATGCACTTAAAAGTGTTTTTTCTTCTAAGGAGGTCTAAAATCTTTCCCTTTGTCCTGCAGCTCCTTGCACCTCATTAGAGGTTTCTCAGCTCTCACAGAAGCTTTGTCTGAGTGGGAGCATCAGAGGCTACATGAAAAGGGGGGTGGGGTGGATCAGGCCAACTCATATGCTCATCCTGGATATCTGGATCCGGGCCAGGCTATCTGGCTTTTAGGGGCTGTTTGTCTTGATGGATGAAAGGCCTTTAAGGCTTGTTCCAGGAGATGGTAGTCGCCTCAGTCCCATTTCTCTCCAGTTACGTAAAGATGCATGATGTTAACATGGCATTGAACAGCCTTTTCCCACTTCCTGCTCTGATTCATTGGCTGCTACTTGTGGAAGACAGAGTACAAAGAAATGATTTCACTGTTACTGAGGAGACATGGGAGGAAATATGGGGAGGGCAGTGGCTCTGTATTTCCTATACTGTGTAACTCAGTTAAAATAAATAGAACAAAATTCATAATGTTCTAGTGACACCTGTAAAACATTTGCTGCACTCTAATTTGGGGGAAAGTACAAGGTCAGGAGATAAGCATGATTTGTGATAGCAATTGATGGTTTCAGTCTTTTTGCAAGTCTTGAATGTTTCTTTTTTATATGTTGTCAAAGGCTTTCACGGCTGGAGTTCATTAGTTGTAGATTTTCCGGGCTGTATGTCCGTGGTCTTGGCATTGTAGGACCTGACGTTTCGCCAGCAGCTGTGACTGGCATCCTCAGAGATATAACACAGAAAGAGGTATAACACAGAAAAGTACTCTCTGTGTCAAGGTGAGAAGAAAAATGGTAGGCAGGTAATTTATATATACTCAGGAAGGTGGAGTAGGGCTGAGTCATTATCTTGTAGGAGTTCCCCAGGCTGTGACATGTCAATGGAAGAGCTTTCCTGAGGAGGTTCTTTTGCATATGGATTGGCTGTTGAAATTCTAATCTTATCTGTAGTGTTCTTGTAATACATAGAGCATTTTGTGTTTTTCAGGACAGGAAACTATGCCCTATTTATTTTTAAACTTTCTTCTTTCCTGATGAAATTGTGTTTATGTTTATGAATTTCAATGGCTTCCCTGTGTAATCTGACATGGTAATTGGATGTGTTGTCCAGCCTTTCAGTGTTTTGGAATAAGATACTGTGTGAGTTAGGCTATGTTCAGCCACTACTGATTTTTCAGGTTGGTCCAGTCTGCAGTGTCTTTCATGTTCTTTTATTCTTGTCTGAATGCTACGCTGTGTGGTCCCAATGTAAACCTGTCCACAACTGCATGGTATGCAGTATACTCCTGCAGAAGTGAGGGGGTCTGTTTTGTCTTTTGCTGATTGTAGCATCTGTTGTATTTTTCTGGTGGGTCTGAATACTGTTTGTAGGTTGTGTTTTATCATGAGTTTTCCCATCTGATCAGCAATGGTCCCTCTAAGCTGTGGAGTCTTGTGAGCAAACATTCTGCTTGTTGGGCTACTGGCATTAACATTGTGAGCCAGCGATTTGGCTACTGCATAAATTCATATGCTCTGGAGCCATCTTTCCTGAGCTAAGACAAAAATGTGTGAGCTGGAGGCTAAAAAACTGTGAGCTAGCTCACACTCATTCAGCTTAGAGAAAACACTGCTGATCAGTGATTCCTTTGATATATGATAAAAACACTTTTCCTGTGTTTGTTTTACCTTTGCTTTAATTGCTCTTCTGATTTCATTCTTGGAGTAGCCGTTTGCTTGAAGTGAGTGGTTTAGACCTGAAAAATCAGTAGTGGCTGAACGTAGCCTAACTCAAACAGTTAGACCACAGCCATACAGCCCAGAAAATCTACAACAACTAATTTCTTTTTTATCTTTCCTGTGGGGTCTTTTGCATGATTTACTTTTTTTCATGCCCATTTTAGGAGACTCCCTAGCACAGAATTGACTCATTTAATCAGGTAGGGTAGTATGACTACCTCCAAAACTTTCTGTCCACAATGTACCCATTGAGTTCTGTTTCCATATCAGCAGATAGTGTCTGCTTGGTCATTTTTTCACATGACTCTAGTTATTTTTCAGCTAAGCTCATTATTGAGCAAATAATTGTTTTATGTTGCTGTTGTTGAGAAAAACACACCAGCAGAAGGCAATCTAGAAGATGATGCAAACGTTTCCTGTAGGGTATCATAACTTTTTGTGGAATATTTATTACATTTCAGCATTTATATCCCTCAGGGTATATGTTCATTGTTTGATGAAGGAAGATCACAGTTTATGTCTACATTTTCCTCTTCTGGATGCAATTCCATTGTAGTAAATGATAAAACTCTTTCCAACTGGTATGACACTAAAACATATGTAAATAATAAAAACTGGGCAAAGGTACTGTTAGAGATTAATGTAACTTAGAGCACATTTCTAAGCAATATTACACCTTTCTAAGTCCATTAACTTCAATTAACTTGAAAGAGTATAACTCTGCTCAGAATTCCACTGTGGTTCACAGTTGCTGTTTGTTGAATAAGATAATACCAAATACTGCATGCTGGGATTGTGTTCAGCGTATACCAACTTCTTCAAATCCTTATCATGCTTTGCACATGAATAGCACAATTGGGTCTAGGCAGTTTACATTTCTGGATCTTATACACTAGCACCATATGACTCCAGTGAGGAGATTGCTCTCACATTTGGAGACACCATTGAAATTATTCTTATTGTTTCAAATAATCTTGCAAAACCATAAATGTGAAGTTCTGAATATGGTAATCTAACAGAGGCATCGGACCTGTTTCCATTGTGTGAATGACAATCAAATTTTTAATAGCTTGGTACATGCCAACCAGCAAAATTAAGGGACCCTGGATAATGAAGGGACCTACTTGGTTAATTCTGCTTTGTGTGATCAGGCTTATGGTATGCCTATTTGTTATGCAGTTGGGTAAATAATTACGCATTTCACATAGGAAGCACTTAAAAGGAGCCTATGGCTTAGTAATAATGGTTTGCAGAGAGAAAGGTGAATTCCTGGTATGCAAATACACCTGTTAAAAAGACAGGAAGAGGCCTTCTGGGTGATGCCCCAGGATATTGCTGCCAATCAGAATCAATGACGCTGGTCAAGATAGTGGTCTGATTCAACATAAGGCTGCTTCCTGTGTCCTTAGGAGCTTCATCTACTAGTAGTGTCTTTTCAGTTATAGTATATTGTGCTCCAAACTCAAAAAAGTCATTTCCAAGGGGTTAAATTCTCTTTCCGTAACTCAAGAACATGGGTTGGTTTAGATGTCATAGTTAACTTACTCCAGGCAAGTGTGCATAGGATTGCAGCCCTGAACACATGAAGCTGCCTTAAACTGAGTTGGATCATTGGTTCTTCTACTCCAGGATAGTTACAGTTCTAGATCAAACCAGTCATGCTTCCAGAAAGCATTTTACCAGAAGAATGCCCTAGGGGACGTGCATTCAAAGTGTTTGCTCTGGACTAAGCTATAGCCTCTTTCTTTGTCTGAAAAAAATGTATCACAAGAAGTGGCCTTCACAGTTGCCACTAAAAGGTGTTGGTCTGAATGTGTCAAGAACGCAACACATTCTTGGAAAACTTGTCAACCCTCGTGCAATACATTTTCGACATGAATTTAAAGATTGTACTATCCCACTTAACAGCAAATATGAAGTATTTGTAACAATCTCAAATAATATACTGTACACATTTTGTGGCACAAACAAAACTACAAATGTAAAGAAGTTGTGAGCTGGCCAACATTTCTTAACTTTGTGTGAAATTTCCTTTACCAGACATTGGAACATGTTGTACAACATTTGAGCTACTTGTAAAAATAATGTATCTGCTGACAAAAAAATTGAACATTTTTAGGGTAAACAAGTTAAAAAATCAGAACTGTTTATTAATTCAGATAAAATTAAAGGTAAAGATGGCATGTTTCATTCTGTACATTGTCTCCCTTTTATTAGCACACTTAGTATAAAGTCTGATCACACTAGCTAGAAAGCTGTGAATTCATCTAAGTTAATGCGGATCTTTGGATCAGCAATGTAATAGCGGACAGGAGTTTGAAAAAAAACATGAACATTAAATGCCTCATGATATGAGGGTGAGTCTAGCCAGTTTTTTCACCCAGTCTCACCTATTTCCTTACTCTCCTATAGACTCCATCCCATGTGGCTTGAGTTGCAAAGTGAGTAACAGATTAAGAACTGTATAAATAATAAAGGTTAACCATTAAAGTATTAGAACCGGCAGCAGAAACTTTATAAATGACATGCATAAGAGACTTTTCTTCTGGAAGGCTGTTCCACAGGGCTGGAGTAGCTACAGAGAAAGCTTGTGGGCTGGCAGCAATAGAATGTGCCCTTACCATGTGGTGAGGGAGGGGGGTATTTCTGTTTAAGATGCACAAGTTGAAAGTCCCCTTGGATATATGCAAAACCAGCTGTCCCATTATTTGGATCCTGACCTATAAAAAATTGCATCCCTATGATGAATTTTATGAAGGCAAGTCCACTAAATAGGTCTTCCTGTGTTTTTCTTTCTTCACACTAGAGACTGATGCTTATGAGATATTAGGGTCTGTGTTTGCTTTTTCCTACCTCTAACAAAGGGTGATACGGAGGGAATTTGGGGAGGATTAGTTTACAAGTGACTGCTGAGCTGTCAGCAAATGTTTCTA